ATCCTGGAATATAAATTTGGAAAAGCAGCTGCAGAGACGGCTGTTTTTTTCGGCCCCGGTCGCCTCTCTGCGTGCCGGGTCAGCGCGGTTTGAAGTCTCTCGTCCGGAGCACACGGGGCGATTCAAGCGGATCGCGGAAAGGAGCCGGGAAAGGAGCCGCGCTGTGCTTCAGGAGACAGATTTTCCCCTCAAAAATGGCAGCAGCGACGTCTTTCTGCCTTCATCCCTCGAGCTGGGTGGCATTCCCAGCTCCCTAACCCCCAACCGCGCCCGACTTCCCGATCCCCCGCGCTTTCGAGGGAGTTCAGCGGTGTGGGATCGTCATGTGCTCGTCTCTCTGTCCCTCTGAAATTCCTCCTCGCCTTCCCGGTGTATCCCTCGGCGTTTGGATGTGGCGTTTCCCTCTGACAGCTCTTCTCTCCTCCCCCCCCAGTGCCTCTGCCTGGCTCCCACCTACGAGCTGGCCCTGCAGATCGGGCGCGTGATCGAGAGGATCGGGCAGTTCTGCGCCGACATCAGGGTGATGTACGCCGTCCGGGGAAACCGAGGTGAGTCCCGTCCTGCCGAGCGGATCTACCGCTGCTGGAACAGGTTCAGGGATCCTCTCTCAGAGCCTTCGGCTACCGGGAGCCGCACGGACCTCGGTGGTCAAATAGCATTTGTGTTCCGCTCTCTGGCTCAGGAGCCTTCGTCAGGACCGCTGGCTGCTTCCAGGCTCCCTCGTTCCCACGTGGGGCTGGTTTCCACCCCCACGAGGCTGTGGGGAAGCGTCAGCCCTGCTGGCAGTTTTCATCTCAAGGCCGCGATTGGAGAGAACCGAGGGAAAATCATAGAACCATGGAATGGTTTGGGTTGGAAGGGACCTCAAAGATCATCCAGTTCCAACCCCCCTGCCATGGGCAGGGACACCCTCCACTACACCAGGTTGCCCAAAGCCTCATCCAGCCTGGCCTTGAACACTGCCAGGGATGGGGCAGCCACAGCTTCTCTGGGCAACCTGTGCCAGTGCCTCACCGCCCTCAGAGGGAAGAATTTCTTCCTTCAATCCCATCGAAATCTCCCTTCTTTCCGTTTAAATCCATTGCCCCCCATCCTGTCACTCCACACCCATGTCCAAAGCCCCTCTCCAGCTTTCCTGTAGCCCCTTCAGGCACTGGAAGGTGCTGGAAGGTCTCCCTGGAGCCTTCTCTTCTCCAGGCTGAACAGCCCCAACTCTCTCAGCCTGTCTCCAGAGCAGAGGTGCTCCAGTGCAAAATGTGCTCCAGATGCAAAAAATGCGCTGGAGCAGGAGAAAACACGTCATGGTTGGAGACGGTGGGTCGCCATTTCCCCTTCCCGCAGCTCCGCAGGACGCCGCGGTGCAGGAGCAGATCGTCATCGGGACTCCGGGGACGGTGCTGGACTGGTGTTTCAAACGGAGGGTCGTAGACATGACGAAGATCAAGATGTTTGTGCTGGACGAAGCTGACATCATGATAGACACGCAGGGCTTATCCTGTCAAAGCATTCGCATTCAGAGGTGAGTATTCCTGACGGCTTGCATCCCACTTCCCTGGTTTTTTTCCCCCCTCTTTGCTTGGCTTTGAGGGAATCAGTGACCAAACAATCGGCAGTGAGAGTCACATTGACGGAAACGTGAGTCCAGGGATCAAACCACGTCCATAAGACATGCAGGAAGACTCTTCTCTAACTTACCTTTCCTTTGAGCCCTTGGGATGGGTCCCGTTTCTGTTCAAGTTGACACAAAATCAGCGTAAATCAGGATTGTTTATACCTTTGGGCACTGGGCTGACGAGTCCTTTTTCCCTCTGCTCCAGGGCTTTACCCACGGGCTGCCAGATGCTCCTCTTCTCCGCCACCTTCAGGGAGAGCGTGCGGTCCTTTGCCACGCGCATCGTCTCCAACCCCATCACCATAAAGCTGCGGGAGGAAGAGCTCACCCTCGGCAACATCCGGCAGTACTTCTTCACGTGCAGGAACCAGGAGGAGAAGTACAGAGCCCTCTGCAACATCTACGGCAGCATCACCATCGGCCAGGCCATGATCTTCTGCCAGGTGAGGCGGCTCAGCCCGCTCCGGGGACATCGGTGTATTTGCGGTCGGCGAGAACGGAAACGGATGCGGCGGGACGCTCCTCAGCACCCTGGAAAACCCACGGAGAGGAGCCCAGGGAGGGGTGGGAACGTGTTTTTGACAGCATCTCTCCCAGCAGTTGGGACTGCCCTTGCCTGGCTTCCGCAGTCACCAGCGCACGGAAAACACGACGTTTCCCAGCCCTTTTTTGCTCGTCCCCATCGTTTTTGCCTTGTTTTGAGGTGTTAAAAAGCGCCAGGTGCTCCCTGGAAAGGAGCAGGGGGCTTGGGAGAGGGGAAAATATCGGCTGGGAGCGAGCGGAGCGACAGCAGAGCTGTGAAACCTCAACCTGCCTCTCCCCGCGCGTCCAGACTCGGAGGAGCGCGGACTGGCTGTCGGTGGAGATGAGCCAGGACGGGCATCAGGTGGCCCTCCTGACGGCGGACCTGACGGTAGCCCAGCGGGCCAACGTCATCCAGCGCTTCCGGGAAGGGAAGGAGAAGGTCCTCATCGCCACCAACGTCTGCGCCAGAGGTAGCGCCGGAAAACCCAACGCCCCTCACCCTTTCCGTGGCGCGGAACGCGCTTCCTGGCCTCCGGTTCTTCCGCTGGCAGCGGGGGCTGGAGCAAGGGATTGTCCCCAGTCCAAGGGGTGAGGTGACCCTCTTTCCACATTTTTTTTTGGGACAGGGATCGACGTGCAGCAGGTGACCATCGTGGTGAACTTCAGCCTCCCCACCAAGCGGAACAGCCAGCCGGATTTCGAGACCTACCTGCACCGCATCGGGCGCACGGGCCGCTTCGGGAAGAAGGGCATCGCCTTCAGCATGGTGGAAAGCCAGGACGTGAGGCTCGTGCAGAAGATAGAGGAGCATTTCCGTGAGTATCCGCGCGTATCCCATCTCTCCGAGAGGCCGTTTTGGGATCGGTGTTTCCCCTCCGGCTCGTTTCTCATCTACAAACGGACCTTTTTGGGCTGCTCTCCTCCCGGGCCTCATCCTGCTCGGTACAGGCAACAGCCCTGTTCCTTCCAGCCCCTCACCCTTTCAGGGTTTGGGTTTTTTTTATTTTTTTTTTCCCCTAGCAGCCAAATTTTTCAGCGATACAGCCCAAGAGGTTGTGCGTGACTTGTGACATTCCTTCCAAGTAGCCAGGATGCCTCAGCACCTCCTTTTTTTTCCCTCCTTCAGGCATTTTTAGCTGCCTTTACCCTGCAAATCCCTGTCCCAGGGGAGCTGGTGCCCCAGTTTAGCTCAGCCCTGGCTGTGGGGTTGAAGCCAGCAGCTGAAATCTCTCCTGATGGCAACTCCGTTGTCAGTCGTAAGCATCAATAAGGATTTTCACGGGATTTACAAGGTGCTGCACCGGTGGCTTTTCAGTTCCCGGCGCCTGTTTTCCCAGTGTTTTTTTTCACCCTGGTTGTGCCAAACACTGACCATATTTTCCTTTTTCTTTTTTTTACAGAGACAAAGATCAAGCAGCTGGACCCGGATGACATGGATGAGCTCGAGCAGCTTGAAAACTGAGGAAGAGGGGGGTTTGTTCCGCCCCGATTCCAAGTTTTGGTTCATGAAGGAAAAGTTACAGGGGAGCAAAAAAAAATCTCCCAGTTCTCTTACCATTTCCTGTTTGGTTTTGTTGGGATGTTTTAGGGAAATATGGGGGGTGGGAACCCTCAGAGCTGGTGACGATGGTTTTGTTCCTGGTTATATTGGTGAAGTTTTCGTAGCTGTGGCTTGAGGAATCCCAACCCCGAGGGCTTAACATGGGATAACGCTCCGGAAAAACGGGTCTAGGCACGCTCAAAGCGGTCAGAAAACAGGTAAATTCTGGTAACTCACCCCCCCAAAATAAAAAATCTGGGGGTTATTTCCAGGCAGCAGCGGTGGGTGGCGTTTCTGCCGGCAAAATCTCGGCGAAAACGTTAAAGAAGGCAAAAATGAATCGAGAGAAAGGAGCGAGTTCTATAAAAAAATACAAAACTAACCCAGTTTCGCTAGATGGCGGCGTCAATCCGCCGCCGGCGCCCCCAAGGGCGGCGAAAACTCCGCTGCGGGCGCCCCCAAGGGCGGCGTTTGTTTCCAGAGGAAAAGTTTTTCCCTTCGCCGCCGCCGCGCCGAGCTCTAATAAAAGAGAATTATTTATAATCGCAGCGGTGGTGTCGCTCCTCTTTTACCGAAACCCCGTGAAATTTATTGCTTGTTTTACTCGCAGAAGGATTTATTTTTTAGGTGGTCAAAGCATCAACAACAATTTTCTTTCCAAACCCGACCTGTACGGGCAGAAAAATGTGCCTGGAGGTGGCTGGCAGCGGCTGGAGGTGGGGAGCGAAGCTGCCCCCCAGCTCTACGCCCCCCCCAGCACCCAGCTTTAACCTATTTTGGGTATTTTAAGCCCAAAAACCTCAC